TAAATGTATTGCACATTACCAGACTATCGGGAAAAACATCGATGTTAGCGATAGTTTGGATTATAGCTAGTTCCCTCCAACATTTTTCATATGTCTAAATGTATTGCACATTACCAGACTATCGGGAAAAACATCGATGTTAGCGATAGTTTGGTAAAGTGCACAGATTATAGCTAGTTCCCTCTAACATTTTTCATATGTCTAAATGTACTGCACATTACCAGACTATAGAGAAAAACATCGATGTTAGTGATAGTTTGGTAATGTGCGCAGATTTACCATGGTACAATAAGGAGGTAGAACAGCTTCGTAAAACTACAGAAATACAGCCTTAAGGCTATACCCGCTTCTTGTCAGAATTATTCAATATTACAGGCAAGAAGTTGTTTTCATTTAATTGATATTTTTTGTTCATTTCTAAAATGAGTCAAATAACGCAAAAATGAATGGAATGTCTGGATATAAATACGGAAAGCTCTTGCTGCACAGTGGGCCATTTATGTTTCCCTCTAGAAAACACTTGACTTTAGGAAAAATATTTTTAAAAAAAATCTGCCCAATTAATCTTTCGGGAGTGTTTATATATTGAAAGTACACCTCATGGGCTTTTCAACGTGCTATTCCATGAGCTTGCACTATTTTTAGTTTTCGCACAGTGGGACTCGTTGATAACTTTTGAAAAATAAGAAAAATCGATTTTTCTCTAATTTTCCACGATCGATTTAGCCAAGTAATAGCGTTTTAGAAAGCTCTTGGAACGGCCTTTCCTGCAGTGCCATTCATATGCGTGCACTATTTTTTATTGCTGCACAGTGGGCTATTTTATGTTTCCCTCTAGAAAACACTTGACTTTAGGAAAAATATTAAAAAAAAATCTGCCCGATTAATCTTTCAGGAGTGTTTATATCTCGGAAGTACACCTCATGGGCTTTCCAAAGTGCTATTCCATGAGCTTGCACTATTTTTAGTTTTCGCACAGTGGGACTCGTTGATAACTTTCGAAAAATAAGAAAAATCGATTTTTCTCTAATTTTCCACGATCGATTTGGCCAAGTAATAGCGTTTTAGAAAGCTCTTGGAACGACCTTTCCTGCAGTGCCATTCATATGCGTGCACTATTTTTTATTGCTGCACAGTGGGCCATTTTATGTTTCCCTCTAGAAAACACTTGACTTTAGGAAAAATATTTAAAAAAAAAATCTGCTCGATTAATCTTTCAGGAGTGTTTATATCTCGAAAGTACACCTCATGGGCTTTCCAACGTGCTATTCCATGAGCTTGCACTATTTTTAGTTTTCGCACAGTGGGACTCGTTGATAACTTTTGAAAAATAAAAAAAATCGATTTTTCTCTAATTTTCCACGATCGATTTGGCCAAGTAATAGCGTTTTAGAAAGCTCTTGGAACTGCCTTTCCTGCAGTGCCATTTATTTGCACTATTTTTTATTGCTGCACAGTGGGCTATGTAACTTCCTTCCATTAAAAATAAATAATAAATACAAATTTTAAAAAAATTGCATTTTTGTTTCGCATCTTCAAAAATCGTTTTTATTTTACCCCTACCAAAATCGTTTTTATTTTCCGCATATCTGTTATACACTGTTATACAACAGAAAGTGCGCCCAGACTGGGTGTTGCCTTCGCTAGTTAAAATCGTTTTTATCTTCACGCACATATATTTGCCCACATACAAAGTGTTGCGAAAGAACCCACGAAAACTTGGAAAATGCACAACACAATTAAAACTTGTTGATGAATATAAATACTTAGGAGTACATTTGGATCATAACTTTAAATGGAAGATACATGTAGAAAACTTATAAAAAGAAACTACGTAAATCAGCGTTCGCACTATGTCACCTTGGGAATTGCGCACCATACCATATTCTGAAGGTAACTTATTACTCTTTAGTTGAATCTCACCTATAAAATGGTATAACAGCGTGGGACAACGCGCGATGCTGTAATGCTCTACAGAACAGCCAAGATAGAATCATTAAATCAATAAACAAAAGAAATCCAACACAGACTCAAAGTCATTCACTCACACACACAAACGCAATAAAATAAATTTACAAAACCCAAAACATATTTAACATAAATGAGCTGTGCTCAATATCTGTCGCCAATGAATTTGCAGATGATCCTAGCGTAGCCAAGAAACTAGACCATCAACAAAACACAGGAAGAAGAGCGGAAGGATGTTAGAAAGTACCAACATTTTCAAATGAGTATGGAAAATTCTCACTAGCTGTCACTCTCCCGAAGGTCCTTAATGAACTACCATCAGATGTTATTAAAATTAAAAAATAAATATACTAGAATAAAAAATATAATTTTTTTTAGAAATAAGTAATGGATTCCAATGCTAATGAAGACTACAGCTGTGCTCCATTATTTTTGTATTAATGAAATAATATTTATATCCTACAGACAAGCCTATTGTTTGGCTTCGTAGGACAATGTAAATAAAATTATTATAAATAAAGGATGTCCCACGGGACGAAATTAAAAGAAATATATTTTTTAATATTCTTTGGGGGAGGTAACAGAAAGAGAGTAACGATGTTTGATGAAAATCTCTGATTTTTTTCTCATGTATAAGAGGTATAATTATTCAACATTTTTATCCTCAATCGGAAGGTGCCAGAAAGAGGAGGCCGATTAATTCCTTATTCGCCTCAGATCTCTAGTTGATTTGAATACTGAGATAAACAAAGTTTCAGGAAACTCATTGACTTAGTTTTCATGTGATGAGAAAATTTAGGGACGATAGGAGTGGGTGGATATAATCCATACAATCATATGTTGTGTTGATAGAACCATCAGATTGTGTCAACTTTCAAAAGAATCTGATGCTCATTTTGCGTTTTATTACCCTCATGGATATTTAAAACTTTGATCCCTTGTGGGGGAAGTACCATAAGCATTAGTCCGTTGTATCCGTTCTTCATATCAGATCCGGTGTTGTGCAGCCAACCTCTGACAAAACTCTTGAAAAATAGCTGGTATTAATATCAAAAAATCCGTATTAACATCATATCATATCCCGACTCCCAGAAAGAGTTCCGGCTAATTACAGACGCAACATAAGGCCCCATAGGAGCCGTTCTATTTGGGTCTTTACAAATTTGAGGATTAGGTAAGATCTACATTTATACCGAACATCAACCGCTAACATACACCCTTAGCAATAAGAACAATAATATCCAAATAAATTGTGGAAGGCAATATTGGAAGTTTATTATTATGAACTTTAATTTAACCAGGTAGATCCTATTTTATAGCGAATGCACTTTCCAGACCTACTGGGATAAATGAAAACTTGATATCATGAACTGTACATAGTGCGGAAAGCTCATTACCGTAACGCCTACTGTGGACACATAATTCTACCAAGTTCTCATAGAAATTTTATAAAAGAGCCAGATTGTGATAAGAAAAAATTAATATCCGTGCTGAAAAAAATACTTAAACCCCTTTGTCATAAATTCCATAAAAACTTCAGAGATTATTATGAGAAGCATGCAAAATATTTACCGAAATAAAAATTTTAAAATTCGATTCACTCAAATTTCTGTCTGTCATAAATAGCATCAAAACTCCAGAGGTTATTTAGAGAAAAATTCATAATATTTTGCAACAGTATTTTAAAAGTTGTAACATTTGAATAAAATTAATTTTTATAGACGACATTTATGGACACTTACAATCCTGTTAATATAAACTGAATATAAATATGAACTGAAAATAAATGCTACTCCAATACAAAAGTACCCCGGTAAATTATTAACGTTGGAATTTTTCGACAGTTAAAAATTGGTATTAAGAGCCATAGATATGTTCTCAAATGCACACAAAATGGGTTTCGATAGAAGACATAAGATGAATATTATTTAGATTTAAGAAATATTTTATATCTGAACTCTGCCAGCATAATCTTCATGATTAAAGATAAATTGGAAACAGAGGTATTTATACCACAGTTTAACAAATATGTGTGAAGTCAACGGTCAAATTGAAATATTTCATCGAACCATGGCTGAAATTTTAAAAATTGTCAAGATTGAACCATCAACATTGCAATGGTACTGACTTTTATTGTATCCACTATTATGGTTATAATAAACAAAAGGAAGGCGAATAAAGATAACGGTTAAAGTTAAATAACATCAAATCAACTAACACAATGAGGGAAAAAGAAAATATAGAAGAAAATATCAAAAAAAAAAAAATACAGAATTAATGACCTGCTAGCAACCAATAAATCATTATTATGTTTTTTTCGGGTTTCAACAAGAACTTAATAATGTTGGATTTGTAATCTCTAAAAGTTACAAATAAGTAAAAAATACTTTTATCAATAAGTTTTTTTCGATATATAGGACACTTTTCTGTTTTATTTAATTTTAAATTGCGATATTTCGTAATTGTATAAATTGCATTTCCAAGGGATATACAAAATAATTTAATATTCTTAATTATTTTACATATTGCAAGGTTATTTCTTTTGTGTCATATGTTTATAGCAAAAAGCTGCGTTGTCTCTGTCTTTGCATGGTGGCATTTTTTAACCATGCCATTTTTTTTTGTTGGTAAAAGGTGTAGAGAAACAAGGATAGAAAAATGGCACGATAAGCCACCGCACAGGGCTACATGCCATTTTTTTGCATTTCTTTTTTTGATTCTTTCGATTTTTTTATGATTTTGACATTTCATATCGTTTCTTTATTGTAATATTTGATGCGTATCTTTTATTGTGATGTGATGTGTTTAGTGATTGAATTGTATAGTGAATTATACGAAAATTAATTGGAAATTTTTAAAAGTTAAAATAAAAGTTAATAATTTTAATAAATATGTGGACCAGATCGACAATAGAGCTCATGTTGGTGCTGTATGGGCAGCATGAAAATCTTTACAATGTTCGGTACCCACATTATAAAAACCGTAAAGCGATGTAGCTCGCTGTCTGCCATACACTACCGGCTAAAGGAAGTGGACGCATGTGTGCCCATTGAAGCCATAAAAACTAAAATACACGGATTGCGTTCTCAATTTCTAAAAGAAACGGCCTTGGTGAGGGCAAGTAAAAGAAGTGGAGCTGGCACGGGCATCATCTTCAAGCCTTTCTGAAGTAAGTCCATAACTGTTACTTAAAAAAATCTTTATGCATATGGGAAAAAAATTATTTGCAGAGTGAAAGCAGTGATGTAAACGTTGAAGTTGTCGATGAGGAGGACTCATTGCTTACCGACTCCCTGCATGGCACATCGCAGGCGTCTAATTTGCCATCAACAACGCCTTCACCAATCACTCCTGGACAGTGTTCGTCATCTAAAAAAAAGGTTATTGTATTCTTCAAATTCTATACTTTTGAAAGTAGTTGTTTTATTGAGAAGCAAAGAACAACCTTTAAGTTCGGATGTAGTTTCGATTCTAATTTTATTTTACAATTTTTAGTTCTTAATAGCTACCTGTACTAATCTAACTTAGCCTACTTCAGTTCTAATAATGGCTATCATCAATACACACAAGGGGTTGTTTTATCCCAATGCAGGAGGTGGCATTTCTTTATGCTACCTCGTGACTGCATTGCTATCTTTGTGTGTGGACATTTTCAATTTCTTTATTACCAGCGTACACACAAAGATTTTATTGCCTTTCGGATTTTCCCGTACTTTACAATGCATTAACGCTTGCTCGTATATTACTCAAGCACTTATCATTGCGAAAACATAAATACTTTTCCTAAAAACACATCTTATCGCTTAACATAAACATTTATCATAAACATACAAGATTCTATATTATTCTAAATCAATAGCAAACCATATAGGAAGATTACACTAATTCTGTTCATATGAACATTCTCCCGGGAGTCAAATAATTTATTTATATCTCTTGGGTCCGAGGGAATTGGGAATTCGCTTAGTTTTTATTACTTTTCTTATAAGTAATATAATTAAAATTATAATAACTACAATAACCAATGTGAATAATACATGTGCCGAAATATGATGAAATTTCAATCCTCTCAATTCCACATTTTCGTTCTTTAAATCTGCAACAATCTTTTTCAGCTCAGCTATTTCTTGATTATGATTAATCGACACGTTTCGCGGGGATTTAATAGCTTCTTTTTCGGTCGGGCTTACATCCTTCAATAGAACTGAATGATACTCTGTCGTTTTATTGTTGCGTTCTCGATGTGCAGCCGCCAACGTAACTTGTCCAATTCTCGCTGTACAATCTGCATCCAACGAGAGAATTCCTTGTTGCGGTACTTTCATTATTGTTTGCTGTGTGTGAGAGCATTTAAGATGGGCTGTCGTAGTTGAAAATGTTTTAAACTGCCAATTCCCACTTTGCATCAACGGTATCCAATAAGGCATGCTTTCTACTTCTACTTGCTTTAAGTTGATATGAGGTCTCAGTGGCGATAATTCACAATTATTAGTGGACGCATCTCTCCAAGGAAAATTACCTTCGCACATTATTTCATTGCCCAATGTCTTTTTGCATTCATTTAGCATTGCCTGGGTTAAGAAATATAAAGCATCTATTTCGAAATTATATACAACTAGCTGGACCGGTCCGCGTTGCCGGCCCATAGTTTTTGTCTATTATGCATATTTGTCAAAGCATGATTATTCAAAGATATGAATGTTATAAATATTCACGTACTGGTCGATTAGTTTATAATTTTTAGTCAAATGAGCAGTAATTTGGAATTTACTGTACTTTGTACAACTCGTAATTGAGGGCTAATTGATTTAAGAATAGGCAAAGTTAATTACTTTTTTAAACCCATTAGCACCTCAGATTGTGCATTAGAGTCCTCATAAGTCCCCCTAACCATGTCGGTCTGTTTGTCCGCCAAAAGGTGGACTTGGTGGGGATACTATTACATGGAAAAATCCTAAAATTTGTAGATATGTTGAAATTTTTGTGTAAGATTTTCATCCCCAAATACTCATTTTTAGCCAAATCCTTTGAAATATGGTAAAATGCGAAACATCGACCTACATTGAAAACTTTCTTCACCCCTTATAATCCAAGATGACAAATAGAGGTCAAATCAAAAATATAGCTATTTTACATCCATTACCGTAAGATGGGAATTAATTTTATTTGCCATTTAAATTGTAAGTTGGAGTCCATATTTTTCATCATAGTATAATTTAATGACGATTCAACAAATATTCGGTCCCGTGCTACTTTCTTATATTTGTAATTTGTTCATGTTTTCACAATTTATTTCATATAGATGTATATCCCAAATCTACGTTCCCAACCACTATTCTCTTGGGGGTTACAAATTCAATAGAATACAAATTTTTCTTTTCTGACCACACATTAGATGTGAAAGTGGACTTGGGGATACTCCAATGTGGGGACTTTACATGAATAAATTTCTATGTGGCAATTATCTGTACGATGGTTCCTTACCCCAGGGTAGCATAAATAAAATTTTTTAGTGGTCAAGACCAATATGGGCCCTACTCCGAAAATTTTATGCGAAGAGGTTCTCTACCCCCCTTAGAAACAAAGATGCCAAATAAGGGCCAAAAATAGAAGAAAATGGCGAAGACTCCAAAAATGGCTTAAATCATACGATGATTATTTATGATCGATATCATGACCTGCTAAAGCGATTTAAGGTATCTTAAATGTTTAGGCAGAATTTTTGGAAGGATAGAAATCCTTTTCTTACTAAAAGTCCCATTCGCTCTACTATTTTGCACCCTTTATATTTGGTATTTTACTGATTGTACTCCCAAAAATTTTTGCATTTTGAGCTCTCATTGGACGGATTATTGTTACATGAAAGAAGTAGGGCCACGCTTTGAAATAAGCCCCATTAGTCTTTTTCGGTCATTTTTGTTTATTTAAATGTCTGCGCATCTTCCAGCTGAAGCACGATGTAGGCCCTGGAGTTGAAAGGTAGATGTCAGTTACCATCGTATTTCGCACTTATTTCATTTTTTTGGTGAAAAATTGTATATAGTGAAAAATTATTCTTTATTTTGTTCACAAAAAATCCACTGAATTCAATATGATATTACAAATTGAAAAAAATTGACAAAAGAAGAATAACAAATTGAAAAAATCTTTAACATGTTCGCTGATTTTTTACAGCAACTGTTTAAAGATCCTTACAAAGTTTGTCAATAGAATGTACTTTTATTTTAAAATTCAATTCCATTGGAATTTTTTTTCGATATTTTCCCGTTTTGAGAATTGTTGCAATGAGATCTCTTTTTTCGTGTTTCTTTTTAACGATTTTGAAAAAGTAATTTTCTTTTAACTTTGGTGTGACCGCATTAAATTATTTCGGTATCATCTATTCCGTTTCGCCACCACATAATTCGGTACTACACTTCCATGTAACCCGTCATCAATTTCAGTTCTCAAGAAATCAAGTCAATTAAATAAATTGGTATTAATATTCGAATTCAAAAATAAAATATAAAAAACACTACAAATGTACATTAGAAAAAAGTAAGTCAAAATGGAAAAAATCATGCAAAATAAAACATTACTATTGTACATTTCAAAAGTCAAAATGAAAATGTTAACATATCACATTTTTACGCGATTTTTTTGGATATTATCCTTTTCGGATAAAAGACAATTCCGAATTTGTATGAATCATTAAAATCAGTTCAGCGGTTCTTAAGTTATAAGCGTAGTAACTAACACAATTTTCATTTATATATATAGATATACGGGGCTACACTTTTCAGGAAGGCTCTCTTGTATTTTTGATATTTCCATTTGTAATTGTGAGGGGGTTATGAGCACGGGATGGAAATTCACGCTATTCACATCAATTAACGCATCTATTATTTGTCTTTGCACTTCGTCACATTCCTCAATTAGCTCATGGATCTGTTTGGCTATTATAAAATATCTTATAGATTCTCTATACACGAAGTAATGCTCGTTCATTGTGCCGCTTATATTCAGAATCTTGCTCTTGAGGTCCGAAAAGTTCGAGTTAACCTCCTCGGTTGTCCTCTTTAGCAGATTGACAGTAGCATCGACTACTGATGTTTGCTTTTTAGCAAGCTCCTTTAAATTTTTTTGATTGTCCAAGAGGTTCTTCATATTATTTTCCATAGCCATTCTGTTATCATCGTCCATTACTCCAAATGCCCAGTGTTGAAATGAGCCAACGAATTTCAATGGAGTTCCTCTTTTTAGCGCTTCTCTTCCTTTATAAACAACCGATTGTTCGTTTCAATCTTAGTAATGCTATATTCCGCGTTCTTTATTGTAGACCAACACTGTTCCTGTCGCCTTGGGCATAATTCCTTGGATATCTGTAGCAGCCCGGAAGCCAACTCCAATGTTTTGAAATACGGTTTCAGCTTAAAGTAGATCACCATGTTCCATGAAGACGAGACCATATTAATCTGAACCATAGGATCCAAATATATTGCGGTGGAACTATTTAGTTCATGAACAGGTGATGCTCTTGTAGACATTATAATCAAAAAGTGAATTATAAGTGGCAACATCGCTATTGGTTGATTTAGCTTTCTTGTTCCCTCTCTTGTCAGATTCGTCTGTGCTACGTGATCCGGTATTACCTCCGGTTCCTCATGATGCTCGAAAGGACATAGCTTGTTTACCGGTCTTTTTACAACTTTATCTTGTGTTTTTAATGTGACTACTCGCACAATTTCGTCTTTGCCCGGATGGACCTCCATCACTTTCGCCAATGGCCAACGAGCTGGATGAGTCTCCTCGTTTTTTATTATTACCACCTCTCCCACTTCGAGATTTCTATTTTTCTTTATCCATTTGGTACGGGTTTGCAACGACGTCAAGTACTGCTCCTTCCACTTCTTCCAAAAATGATTTTTTATACGTTGCAGCAGTTTCCACCTGTTGACGCATACCATATTTCCTTCCCATTATCCTTTTAAGATGATATTTCGTTGATTTTACAGCTGCTTCCCAAATTCCTCCGATGTGAGGAGCTACGGGGGGAATAAAGTGCCATTTTATTTTGTCGTTTTCTAAAATTTGTGCTGCATTCGTGTTGTTTCCAACGGCCTCTATATAATCTTTATCCAACTGCCTTGCTGCCCGGTTGATTTGCCTCTTCTTGCTAAGTGGACCGCTTTAGTCGCCATACAGACAAACACAGCTATGTATCCTTTCATGGATCTTGTTCCTCTTGTTTTGAAGCACTTTATCTAGATCGGACCTGCATAATCCACGCCGCAATGCTGAAAGGGTAGACTCAGGTTGACTCTGCAAGCTGGTAGATTTCCCATAATTTGGTTTCGTACTTCGCCTCGATAACGCGTACATCTTGGGCAACTTCTAATAC